ACAGCGCGTCCTTTGCTTACGGATGAATCTACGATGTTACGACGTAATACGTATGTAGTGTTTATTGCACGCCTCACAACGCTTAAGCGTGTGGGAATGCTTTAGTCTCGATAGGCCGCTATGTAACGATTTTACAATATAAAATCGCTCTTATCTCCCAAGTTAGACACTAAATTAATAAAAAAGGGGTGTTTTGAAAACTAGACATATTAAATTATAAAGACAGTGTATTTTTTCATTTATTTTTTAGTATATATAAAAAAAACGTACCGAGTACCTGCGGGTTACTTTGAACTAAAATGTGCACTTTTTTTTTCAAATAAAATTGTAGCTTCTCTTTGTGATGAATATATCACGTCTATATCTTTTCATTAAGAACTTTAAAGTATAAGTTAGAAAGTTATCATACGAAAATAGGAAAAAATAATATTTAAGGGTTAATATATTTTTTTTAATTTTGGGCCAAAGTTGGGTTACTTTAGCTCGGTGAGTTTTGTCTGTGAAAAAAACTCATTTTAAGCTATGTTGGGGTTAACTAACCCTTATAACAGATCACCATTAGCATACTGAATATACAAATGATGTTTTTGCCCAAAAATAATTAAGTTAAATAAAAAATATAAGTTTAAATTTAGAAAAAATAGTAAACTTACCGAAACCACAGTTTTGAGAAAGTTTACGCATGAACTTGCGAACTATTTCAGTTACAAAAAATCTCACGTTACAATGACAACTTGATACAGGAACGATGTCGGTAAAACAATACCACACTACGCGCTATCACTATATGGCTATCTGTGATTTTCAACTGGAACTATTACGGTCTACCAAGAGATACTGATGGGGCGGCAAGTTCAATATTTTTTCTGATTTGGGACAAAGTTACCCGCCCGAGCTAAAGTAACCCTCACTTACGGTAGTTAAAAAAATATTAGTACTGCTGTCCGTTGGTCTGTGCACTTGTTTGTCAGCACGTTTTAGAAAATATAGACAATTAATTGTAATAAATCCTTTTGAATTAATTTCCACTTATGCTGAGGATGAACCCTATTTCTCATTATGATTGAACTGATAACCGTTTAAAAGATATTAATGAAATTCAATGAAATTTATTTATTGGGTTTCTGTTTCGTGAATGTGAGGCGTGCACTTTTGGATTTTCCAAATTTTTGTCTTTTATTTTTATTGATAAATTTAAAGACTTCATTAATATAAAAATATGGACAGCGCGTCAAAAAAAAGTTTCTTCTTTAATACTTTAAAATTGCGCATTATATCTATTTGATAAGATTATTCTTGAGCTACGAGTACCACCAAAATGAGTTGAGCTTAAAAATTCAAGTTCGACTCATGATGTCATAAAACACACACAAGAGTGACTAAAAAATACCAGTTTGCATTCTTAGATTAATCTAAATCAAAAAGGGTAGATACGGTACGCTCATACTTGCATCAAATAAAAACTGATCCCACGACAGCGCGAACGGGACGGCGAGATTCGCGTCACTGCATTACCGACCCGAACGAAACAGCAAGTTAAGTTTCAACGGCAGCGCGAACGAGACGGCGAGATCCGCGTCACTGCACTACCGACCAATCACGCGACCAGTACTCGACGTCACTACCGAATAAGATTCAAAACAAACAGCAATTTTTTTGAAAAAATGAATTTTATAGTACTTACGAATGAAAAGTGATGCTGTGGGTGTTATTTTTAGTTCTTGAGCAATTTGAGCACTTTTTAAAAATATTGTTTTATCATATAAACACAAAATATTAGCAATATTTCTTTTTGGCGTTCATCACATGTAAGTCGTTTGCATGTCAAGTTGTGACTAAAGCGATTAGGGTCGTGGACCACAATTCATGCGGATCACTTTTGTGAGGCTAGTGCCGTATCTACCCTTTTTGTTTTAATCTAAGTTTGCATTATGATATCAAGGAAACAAATAAACATACAATCGAGAACAGTTCCCAGGCGTTCCATTCACATTTATCGTTCAACGGTTTAGTGTTAAGCAAAGACGTACTTATAAACCACAAGTCCGCAATAACAATGAGCGGGCCTGACCCACGAACTGCAAACTCAAATTAAACATCTTATGAACAGAAACATCTTGGCGAGATCCTCTTCATTAGGTCCCGCAAATTGCGGGGCGAGGCGGAAGGGGCTCGGGGAGGGGGGGGGGGGGGAGAGGGGGGACAATGACACGCCGCCCGCTCCTATTAATAATGCAAATGAGACCGCAGCTCGGCCAAGAAGGAGTCGCGATTAATTCCGGTTCATTTGAGATAATTGTCGCTGCGTGTGCGGTCTGCCTGCCTGTAACCCTATGTAGACTGTTATGGCTCTCATCTGGGATCCGGTGGCGAATACATAATGTCCGTTTTAATGTCGCTTTTCGCTGCAAGAATATATACATATATTCGACACTTCATATACTAATTAAAAAAAGTTTTTTTTTATTTTCAAAGACTTCGTGAAATTGCCAATATTATATTTTACGATTACCTATGTGAAAAATAGTGTTACGGTAATTCCATAAAAAACACATACACACACATACAAAGTATATTTCTAGTTTGGGTATTCTGGTTCATAATAGTAGTCACTTAACAACGACTTTTCTGTTAAACTTACTCCTAAGATTACCCCAGCCTACATGCATCGTGATGCTTCACGATATACGAAGCACAGGTTAATTCTTAGATCGTTGTTCTGGAAGCTGACCGATGGAGTTACGGATAATACTTCGGATAAAAACAAAATATTGTTCTGGCCTGGATATAAAAAACAAATCGATCAAGATTATAATTATTATTAATTTAGATTATTCGAAGTTTTCATTATATGTACACCTATCCTTTTAAGTTGAAAAGAAATTTGACAAATAGAAATTGTATTTAATTGAGTTTAGTAAATAACACACCTAAAATAAGTTTTTAATCTTTACGAAAACATTAATACCTATTCCTTCAGCTTGAATGTTAGCGACACCTTTTTGTAAGCGGATAATAAAGAGAGTGCTCACGTAGCTTCGACGGCGTAGCACACGCTACGATCGATAAGCGACAAGCCGTAGCTACGGGTTTTGCTTCTGAAAACTTCCACCATTACAAGCAATAATAAATTACGTTTAATATAGAAAAGTCAAATAAGTATTAAATAAGTTCTAAGAATAGCTTATATTTTTAAAAATATTATAACGTAACAAGCCTGGTTTTGTATTGAGGATGTACACGACAATAGAATACACAAATATTTTGGTGCATATTAAGTAATAACAACAGTTTGTAGTTCCTATATAAGAGGAATTAGTTTAATATAGAATGGTAACAAAATAAAGTAAGTATATATAAATATATGCAACAACACCCTCTAAAACAAACGTTTAAACGTAACTGTACTCTTCTAATTCAAAACTTAATGAGGCTCACTTTATTTAGTGTGTTATGGTGTTTTTATTGACTCAATTATTTATTTATTAACTATAGATCAATGATTCTGATTTAGCCTGTTGCATTTATTTTGCAAAACAAATAATAAATGCAAATAAAATTTCCAGAAAATCTACCTGTCGCCAAAACCAACAAATACGTGCTGTATCTAATTTTGTGAGTAAGCGACAGGATTTTAACAATGACTTTTAATCCGGTATATATAAGTATTAGTTATGCAGTATATCAACTTTTCGTGTGTCTTTAATTGTTATTTGCTTATTCGAATTTAATTAAGTTGCAAACATTTAAACCTAATAATATATTAGGATTAGTAGGAAAACAAGCTACTGTTTGCAATTAAATTATTATTCAGAAAAATATAAAAACAACAAATTATTTATAATCTACGTTACATTTGGTATAGCACAATTAAACAAATACGAAATTTATTAAACTACAATACAAAATATATAATACGAGTAGTATTATTTTAAAGACCTCCGATCTCTATGTAAGTATTATTAAGATATTGAGTACAATGTTCGTAGTCCGCTTTGTAGGCATCGCGATGCCTACTTTCATGGAGTAGGTACCTACATACCACGGAGGGGAGGTCGCGAAGGGAGACAAAAATGGCGGCACTGCACGGACGACGACTTATTTTCATTCTATATTATACTGTGCAACTTACTTACAACTTCAACTATTTTTATTTGTTTGACGACTTTTATTTTATTGCTTAATGGGGACGTATAAAGGTTTAATTTCAACTTTGCAGTAGAATATAATGTGTACTTTTTGAAAAATGTGGTATAGGTTAGTAAATAGATTTTTTTTTCATTATTGACTGTTGAATAAAATAATCATCATTGACTTTCGCTATTTGTTGTACAGTTCTGGACATAGGCCTCCTCCAGTTTCCTCCATGTTCTTCGGGTTTATGCCCCAGCATACTATTAAAACCCACATATATCTTATTATATCATCTACTCATCTCTGAGGTGGGCGTGTGAATAAAATACTTCAATAAATATGCATGAAATTGAAATATACTAATTTAAAAAGATAATATTGGTTAGAATTAGAAAACTATTTTTCTAAGGCATTCAGTTTTTAGTTCACAGTTCTAACAGGCTATTATGTTTATTAACTATAATGAGCAAATTTGATTAATATGAAGTTGATCTGAGGCACAAGCACAATCTCTGACGGTTCGTCAAATTTTGTTTGGAAGGAGTCAGTTGGTTTTCAGGGGCCGGTGGGCTCTGCTTAGGTTTCACAGAAACTTTAGATACGATACGATTAAGGAACTGTCAAAGTTCGTTCTTGGGCTTCTGTAACCCTAGCACGAACCATTATCGAATTCGAATAGTTTGCAAACCGAAATGTCAATGTCAAATTTTGTATAGAAACTTGGTTCGTGCTAAGGGTACAGTACCCCTAGCACGAACCAATATCGAATTCGTATCGTTTGCGAGTCCGAAATGTCATTGTCAAATGTGTTCTGATTTTTAGAACTCTTAGAACTTCATATTTTAATAAGTGAATGTTTCTTTCAGCCGGATTGCCGTACAAAGTGTACGGCAGCCACGAGGGCTCCCTCACAGAGAAGAGGAAGCAGCGGCGCATCCGGACCACCTTCACATCGGCACAGCTCAAGGAACTGGAGCGCGCCTTCCAGGAGACGCACTATCCGGACATTTACACGAGGGAGGAGATCGCAATGAAGATAGACCTTACGGAAGCTAGAGTACAAGTAGGTTATACTCTACTTTATTTATTGTTGAGTATTGTTAATTGGGGTTTTATATTATTAGATATGAAGAAGCTCGATGGCGCAGGTGGTTAGCGCATTCGCCCTGCAATCTTGAAACTTAAACAACTTCCGTAATGGTCAGTCGTTGGATTGGAAAAAATTATTATCTCGAGCTCCTTCGTGCTGCGGAAGGCACGTTAAAACGTTGATCCTTACTACATCATATTCATCAATCCGCGCTAGACCCGCATGGTGGGCCATTGTTCCATCCATAGGAAAGGCCTGAGCTCCAGCTCCAAGTGGCAGAGGAATAGGCAGCCATCGTGCAAGTGGTATCATGTGCGTCTATAGCAAGGTTTCTACAAGTGGGGTCCGCTAACTTTTTAGAGTGTTTTCTGTGCGGACCCGGCTTAAGCTTAGAAAATACTTTAGGCTAGTCTGCCTAAGCATATTTTCTCTTTAAATATTGTTAGGAAGGAGTCTGTTCATTTTTTATATACTGGAATTCGTCCGTCACTGCAAATTTTTTCCAAAACACTGACTAGCTTTTAGGTGGGCCAAATATCTGTTTGCCACCCTTTTAACATAAAAAAATATAAACTTAACAGCACTTAAAATTTCAGAGTTGCTTACCTTTATTGCTAAGATTACATGACACATAGCAAGTTTCTATGTTAATTATTATTATTGTTTGTCCATTTTGAAGAATACTAAGAGACTATTAAGAGATCACTTGAGTTTAATAACATGTATTGTAATCGAGCAAATGGAACTAATTTCTTCGATTATTATTTTATATATTATATTTTGCTTCATCATTGTAGTCCCTGATAGAAGAAAACTTCAGTTATCTCATATCAATAAAGGAGTGCGTAAAAAGAGGCCACGAGTTATAACGTTGAGTGTTCGCGTAAAAAAAAGACTGTTGTTTTCTCGCGCCGTCCGTCACATTTCCAGAGTCCAATTAGCGTCCAGTAATTCGAGCGCGTCTGACGGGCACGACTACATAAAAAAAGCCAGCAGCCCCCGCGGTTAGCTCTACTTAATTTCATAATAAGCGCTCATTTTTATGTGAGCCGGTGTGAGCGCCGTGTCCGCTGAATGTTTAATGCAATCCGGAATCGTGTGAGGTGGTGTCTTCTGATCACGTAGCGGTGACGCGCGACGCCGTAGTACTAATATCATATTCTGGGAGATGACGCCCTAGGCGCAACCGATGTTCTTATTGTTTCAAATGAAAAAAGTATTGTGTTTCCATTATTTTCTATTTTGGATAGGCCAGAATTTATCAGATGCTTTGTCATTTTTTTTAAAGTTCGTCGTACGATTACGTAGCGTTGTCACTGCGCTCATATTCTGGGAGAATCCGACCCCGCGACCTCTTCTTTCAATTAAAAAGGATTATGGTGCCACGATCTTCATACTTCTATTTTCGATAGACCTAGAAAAAACTAAATGGCAGTTTATGATACTTGTAAAAATCTTTCATTTTATATTTATCAATAGAGGACCTCGATGACGCAAGTGGCTACCGCATTCGGTGTGCGATTTGTAAAAGTGAACTTTATATTTTTCAATCAAACAATATCATTATTATTATCAATTTCCTCCAAAATTGCTGTGCGACATATTTTAACAAAATTAAATTCGGAATTTGAACCCGTACAGTTCGGCTTCAGTGTAAAAGGTGGGTGTGAGGCAGTCGTCCATGCCCTACGCTCTTTCCTAACTTACGAACAGCCTGACGTGTTGCTCAAAATTGATGTCAAAAATGCATTCAATTCGGTAAATAGGGATACCCTGCTGATGGAAATAAAACAAAATATACCGGAAATATACAATTATCTTCTTCTCAGTTACGCTGACCCAACAAAATTGTTATATCGTTCTAATGAACTGTCCTCGGAAGTAGGCTGTCAACAGGGTGATCCCCTTGGGCCTGCAATTTTTAGTTTGGCTATAAATCCGATAATCAAAAATTTAAATTCTAAATTCAACGTTTGGTATTTGGACGACGGAACCCTAGGAGGTGGATACTGTGTTTTCGAAACTTTTTTTAAAACAAAAATAAATTTGAAGCCATCGGTTTGGAGCTTAATTTTAGCAAATACGAACTTTTTTTAAATAACTACGACTGAAATTTAAATTACGTAAAACAAAAATTTAATATTTTGGCTCCAAATGTTAAAATAGTTAACAGTAATTCCCTTTACCTTTTAGGTTCTCCAATTTTTGATGAATCTATTTCTGAATATATTAATAATTCAATTACAAAATTTAAAAATTCTGTTGTCCGTCTCCTTGAAATTAGTCCACATTATGCACTTTGCATCTTAAAATTTTGTCTTTTCGTCCCAAAATTTACGTATATGCTTCGTTGCTGCTCCTTTTGGAATCACCCAGATCTTTTGACACAAGTAGACAACTTAATCAAAATTAGCTTAGAATCAATTCTTAATATGCAGCTGAACGAGCAATCTTGGATCCAAGCATCCCTACCCATCCGGGTATCGTGGTTTAGGGATTCGAAAAAATTCCAGTGTCGCTTTACCAGCCTTTCTATCTTCTGTCCATAGTTCAGCAAATCTTATAAGTAAAATTTTAAGGGTACCCCCTTTAAACTTTGAGATTGCTGGCTTGGAAGAAGCTAGAAACGCTTTTTAATTGCATGCCCAGATCAAAAATTTCCAGTTTCTCCAAATTCACAGAGGAGCTGGGACGACATAAACTGTAAATTAACTTTTGAAATCTTTTGAGCTGTAGTACAGGTTCGCGCGTGCTAGGCTTTTGGCGGTGGGTGCGCATGAGGCCGGCTACTGGCTTCACGCGTACCCTTCATCAAATACAGGAACATTTCTTGAGCCTGACACACTCCGAATCGCAACCTGTCTACGGCTTGGGGTTCCGGTCTGTGCTCCTCATAAATGTCCCTGTGGTAGTGATGTCGACAATCTAGGACATCACGGACTGTCATGCCAAAAAAGTACAGGCCGCTTCTCGAGACATGCCGCACTTAACGATATCATACGCCGGTCCCTTGCCACCGTCAACGTGCCAAGTCTACTTGAGCCGACTAGTATTGCAAGAGACGATGGCAAGAGACCGGACGGTACGAGTTTGATTCCATGGAAGATGGGCTGGGTACCTGTTCAGACACGCTGGCCCCTTCCCATCTACATGGAACCAACAACAGAGCTGGTGCGGCTTGTGAAGCGGCTGAAAAAGCAAAAGCATGCAAATACAGGGGTCTAGGCTCTGAATATGATTTTGTCCCATTCGGTGTTGAGACCCTTGGTCCGTGGGGTCCTAGCGCTATGAGGTTTTTAAGGAAATATCAAAAAAGTTAGTCGACATAACTGGAGACCAAAGAGCTGGCAGCTACCTCGGACAAAGAATTAGTCTAGCTATTCAAAGGGGGAACGCTGCCAGTATCTTCGGAACCTTGCCTAAAGGGACTCCTTTTAGTAATATTTTATTTTATTTTATTTTATTCAGGACAAAAAACAGTGGTACAATTCTCATTAAACAAATAGTATTGTAATACAGGTGACACCTTAAATTATTGTACGACCAACTTCATTATCCACTAATTAAAACAAAATACATATTTTTGCGCTTAAGATTTTCTATTAATACAGTAGGTACCAAGAAATGAACAGAATATAAATTAGTAACTGAAAATAATGACATGACCTATCAATCAAACCACTGTGCTAAAGTAGTTAAATCCAGCCAGGGTGCAAGTCTAACCGATGTATATCTATTTTAGTATATTAACATTCACTTAGATACTTCTGAACCTTGGGAGAAAACTGAAGTGACACTTTTTTTGTATAAGGATGGTGACAATTGAAAAATATCAATATTATGCATATTATCGTTGTAACTTTTCATCACTCTATACAAAGGTGCACGGGCCCCAGCATTAGTATTACACCGGGGAAGTGAAAATAATCGATGATGGTAATTTTGTTGGATTCGTTTTGATCTACTGGGTATCTGATAATTTATTTTATTTATCAAATCAATGCAATCAAAGTTATTATTACATAGATTATAGAGAAACATAGAACTCAGGAGTGACCTTCTCACTTCGAGCGAGTCTAGTGAAAATTTTATTAGCAAGTTTTCATATGAAACTTTGGAGTGACAACATTTAAAATTAACATATCTCAAAAATTTCCGTTGAACAGACTCGACCTGTTTATTGTACTTATTATAGAAAGGATTCCATATGATGACACCATACTCAAGCTGTGATCTGATCAAGGACTTAAAAAGGTATATAAGTGTGCTTGGACGTTTGAAAGCTGAACAGGACCGAGCTACAAAGCCGTAAAGTTTGTAAGCCTTACTGGTGATATGATCAATATGAGAATTCAGGTGCAGTTCAGAGTCAAAGAGGATTCCCAAATCACGAATTAATGTGACATTTTCTAATGGTGTGTTATTCAAATAATACGTGTTTAGTACAATGTTTCTATTCTTTGTAAATGTTATAGCCTTACACTTTGGTATGCTGAGATGCAGTTTGTTAATGCTACAGTACAGTGAGAGGCGGTCTAAATCTTGTTGAAGTTTAATGCAGTCATCAAAGTTCGTGATGGTGCGATATACCTTTAAGTCATCAGCATACAGGAGGAAGTTACTATTAATGAAACATTGGGAAATATCATTTATAAATAAGATAAAGAGCAAAGGCCCTAAAATTGAACCTTGAGCTACACCCGAAGATACATAAATCGTTGATGAGGAAAAGCCATTTACCACAACCTTTTGGGTCCTATTGGTTATGTAAGAATGAAACCAGCGAAACAAATTTCCACGAATCCCGTTAAATGCTATCTTGCGTAGAAGGATAGCGTGGTCAACTTTGTCGAAAGCTTTGCAGAAGTCAGTGTAAACGGAATCAACTTGTTGACGGTTATCCATACATTCAAATAAGAATGTGGAATATGACATTAAATTAGTGAGAGTCGATCGTTTCTTGACAAAGCCGT